TGCTACAGTTTGCCATGTTTAGATGTTTGTCATGTTTTGATTGCAGGCCAGCTGTGATGGCAGATTGCTTATTTACTATTAGCTTGGAACAATGTCTTGCAGCTCACTGTGACCACACTGCTTTAGATGTACATTAAACATTAACTGCTGACCTCATGCAAAACGTGCAAGAAACAAGGTGTAATAGCGATAGGATTTCTTTCTGTTATGCAAAATGCATGACTATAGGGCTGTTTGTGTTAGCGTAAACCTCAGGAGACTTCTCCACTGATTAATTTACCAAAGCCAGCCCGAAGTAATCTTAGACCTATGTCTTCTCTGTACCACAAACTAGCTCAGTATGTGCTATTATCAGCATATTGCCTCAATGTTGTACCACAAATAAGGGCTGCAGACACTAAGTAGAATTAATGAGCTGTTGCCTAGTTAAAAATTAAATAGTGGTTACAAATGACCTGAACTATAGTGAAGGTAGGATTATAAATATTCTACACTAACTAGTAAATAAACATGCCTGTAAACTGAGGCTTTTTTTAATAAGTCTCAAGGTAGACACGATGGTATCTGTCAAAATTTTTTATTAGATTTCTATATTAGCAACAAAACCAAGCAGAGCTAGACTTGCAAGTGAAACAGCTGCAAAAGTGCCTTTCCCTGCTAAAATGCTCGTCTTGGAGTAGTTAAAAATTCAGGCGATTCTTAGATGTTACACTGCAGTAGCTGATCAGCTATTTCCACATAAAAAGCAAACCCTGCCTGCTCTCTCCTTGGGCACCAAAGATGTCAGCAGAGCTAATGCCTGAATCAACAAATCCAGCTGTGGATGTCCCCAGGCTCTGCCTGTATCCATATTAGTGCTCTTTTAAGTTGAGGGCTTTTGAAAATGGATGCGTGAAGATAAAAAAAAAAAGCACAGTGGCAGAGCAGCTTCAGCGCTGCTGCAGGCCCGGGGATGCTGGATTCAGCGTGTGACCTGGGCTGTTGCTTTGTAGCCAAATTAATCGTGCTGTGCACAGAACTTGGATTTGGATATAAATAATTAAAGGTAGCACTGTTCCTCACTTGATCCTGCAAGTCTCAATCTCTCTTGCTAGATATCAAAGGCAGCTGGATCGTTACTGAGGCTGCAGAGAAACACTGAAAGAAATCCAGTCCTTCCAGTAACATTTTATTGGTGTGGTAGGCATGGCTCAGTGCACACACAGCTCATGGGAAGCCTGTGAGTTGCATCGTACCGCTCCGTGAAGTCAAGTATTTTGCTGAATCAGGGCCAGATGGCTTGACAGAGTCTTATCAGAAATCGATTCCTGTGTTGCGCAGCTGTCTCCCTTTGCCGTGAGGATTTCATTGCTTTAAGAAAAGGAAAGGAGCAGGTGAACTGTGGCCCCTCAGGAGCAGGCTGGCTTGGTTGAATTCGCGGCCACAGGGCAGGTTCCCTCCAGAGGAGTCAGCTCTGGAGCCAGGCTCCTCGCAGGCAATCATTCCCTTTGCTCCAGGGACTTCATCAGCTGTCTGCCAGACAAGAACATCACCTGTAGCCCAGCAAAATACTAGGCTGTATTTTGTTGTTTAAAGTTTGAAGAAATTGCCGTTTCCTTAAGGTTTTTACTGCAACAATTAGGCAGTTACTGTCCTGACAGCCTTTTTGCACTGTCACTTGTCACTATAAACCCGCCCCCCTTCTGAAAAGAACAGTGAGCTAATTGCAGCTTATGCCACTGACATTGTCAAATGAAAAATAAAATCTTCAACATCTTTTACTTTTTCCCAACAGGCTGACTTAAACTGCAACATTCAAGATGATACAGGAGCTTTTTATGGAGTCACTAGTCAGTACGAGAGCTCAGAAAACATGACAATCACCTGTTCCACCAAAGTCTGCTCATTTGGAAAGCAAGTAGTAGAAAAAGTAGAGGTGGGTGTTGTGAGGGGATGTGTGGGATGATTCTCTGGTTCCCTCTCATTTTACTTAGTCTTTTCTCTTTCATCTTTACTTTGCTTTTATCTGGCTTTTCCTTCCTTCCTCTAAGCCTTCCTGAAAGAGTATTTGCCTTCCCAGCAGTGTTTGGGCTCATTTTAAGTTACCGTGTGAATGGTGACTCTGCAGTTACCTGTTGCTTTGGAGCCCCTCTGCCACCCTGCCTGGGGCACCCTTCGGTGGGGAACCTGCAGCTGACATCAGCACTGCCTCCTCCATCACCTGGCAGAAAAGAGCTGAAGCAAAAATGCTTTTGCTGCCTTTTCCAAACACTTGGCCAGGCACGTAACCTGTTTGGAACCATACTGCAGTGATGAGCTACCCTTTTCATTTAGATTTTTTTTTTTTTAAAAAAAAAACATTTTAAAATGTGCTGTATTTCATCTATACCCGTGCTTATTTTATCTTATTTTATGCATGGAAAGGCACGCTTTCCCCAGTCAGCAGCAGCTTTTGCATATAAAAAGTTGCATATTGTCTTAACTTGCAAGGGCCTTTATTTTTTTACCTTTTATTTTTTTAAGCACAGAACTGTATGGCCTGATCAGGCAGCTAGTTGGTTTTCTTGTGCAATGCTACTGCAGCTATTTAACTTGGCTTGTGTGCACTAAGCCCCGCACCCACATCTGTTATCTGCAATACAGTTTTTTTGTATGGGCATTTTAGCCTCGAGCCACAGGTTGTGCCTTTACAGATGTCCTGGTCACTGTTCATGTCCTCCTTATGCTAAATATGTCTTCTGTGCATGCTGACCATAAAAAAGTTTCCATCATTTCCAATATTCCAAGCTTAGAGAAAGAAAAAAAAAAAAACAAAAACCCACAAGCCACTGAGTAGCTCATCTGAGCAATTGGTAGCTGGGCAGCAGTCCAGAAATTCAAAAATTTCTGCAGAGTCCAAAAATCACAGCCTTACCCTCCTTCAGCCCCTCATGAGCCCCTGCAATCTAAATCAGTCTGGTTTTCTTCCGACTCTAGTCTTGCATCTTTCCGTAATTCATAAATTCCCTATTAAAAATCATGCGATAATATAGCTGTGTATACTTATGCATAAATATATAAGCTTATTTTTGCTGTTTCCTTTGCAGACAGTTGCCTTGAAACTACTGTAAAATCATCTTACCACAATGTTTTCTGCTGAATTAATTTTTACTTGACTTGGACTTACCTTTGTGTAATCCTCATCTGTTTTGTTTTCCTTTTTTAATGCACAGGTTAGAGAACAAGTAGTGATATAACTTTTATTAACTGAGAGCCCTTGAATTTTTAGCAAGGCACTGAATAGCTCAGGCAGGGACTTCGCAAGTCGGGGTGGGGGGGGCAGTGTCTGAGAGCCACTTTCTCTTTTTTCTGTCTACACAAAGAAAGAAAAAAGGCCATATTTAGTGTTCACTTTTTTTTGCTATTTGAGAATTATCTTATTCTGAATGCTTGGTTTGGTTTTTCGTTTGTTTGTTGTGGTTTTTTTAGACTGAATATGCAAGGTTTGAGAACGGCCGGTTCGTGTACAGAATAAACCGCTCTCCAATGTGTGAATATATGATCAACTTCATACACAAGCTGAAGCATTTACCGGAGAAATACATGATGAACAGCGTGTTGGAAAATTTTACAATTTTATTGGTATGGACTCACTTTTTAGTTTTCCATTTCTAAAATACTCTCAGGCTTTGCATGGCTTGCTTGACTTGTAATATTTAGAACCAGTTTCCGAATCCCATAGTCATGTTGCTTACTAAACAAATCATCCCATTGCCTCCAGAGTAATACTCTTGAAACTGTGCACTTTAGATGCTAAGGATGAAAAGGCTAAGCTAGCTGAGAACATGACCAAACACCTTTGTTACTTTCAAAAAATTCAGCTTACTTCTGTCTTTTTTTTTCATACAAGTCTGCATTTGGTGTTTAGAGAGAGCCTGAGGCAGTAACTTTGAACTATCCCATTCATCTGACGTGTTCTTACAGAGCTGTCAGTTATAATACTGCAAACGTCAGTGGTGTTCATTAGTTCTTGGGCCAGGAAAGCATGCAGTAGTGGGTACACCCAACAGGTGATCTAAAGCATGAAGAACAGCCCACAGAGTGGCCTTTAAGCCAGTTTCATCCAGTTACGCAGCTGGCTTTCACTGTGGCTTTGCGGTGGCACCTCAGCCAAGCACTTAGCGCCGGGGGCTGCTGCTCTTACCGTAGGAGTTGGGCAGGACCGAGGGCTGGCAGCGTGGGGAAGCGGTCGAGCCGCTGCCTTTTGGCAGGCAAACACGAGGTTCAAGGGTGCACTGGTTTCCCTTTGCTGAAGCGGGGCTCAGGTTGAGGAAGGCTGAGCCAAGCCCCCATGACGGCAGCTCGTGGTCAAGCAGCCGGGGTGGGCTGGAGCTCAGTGCCCTCCGCTGGGAGCTACAGCCCTAGAGCCCAGTGCGTGAGCGCAGTCACGGAGCTGTTTAAATTGCCAACGACAGAGCGAGAGGACACACATTTTAAACAGTTGCATCCAAAGATTGTCTAAATTAAGCCAGTCGTTTCTTGTTTTGGCCCTGGTGTTTCCAAGTTTGTAATATATTGTCTACCTCTTCCTTCCCCTCAAACAGGTTGTAACAAACAGGGATACACAAGAAACCCTGCTCTGCATGGCTTGTGTATTTGAAGTGTCAAACAGCGAACATGGAGCACAGCATCATATCTACAGGCTTGTAAAGGACTGAGCAGTTATTTATATCTACACTTCATTTCACTTCTTTATCAAAACACAGACTGTAAACCTCAACACGAAGTGGCAGTGCCTCTGGCCCAACTTTCACCCACATTTTTCTAAATCCTGTTTTAGTGAAGTCATTTTTAATGTGTTCATATATAATTGTAGCTGTGAAATTCTGGTACAGTTGTAAAAATTATTTCTAAAACTAAGTGTTCTTCAAATTTGTAAACCACAGTTCTTTGGGAAGACTGTATTTAAGAACCTAATGCCTCTGGCTGTGGAGGCCTATTTTTAATTCTGATAGAAAAATGTACGACAGAGCATTTGCCATGGGGAAAAACTGACAGCATTTATAAGAATTTATTTTGAGTTTTTTTCCAACATGAGATACTTGTTTTACAATGCAAGTGAAATTGAAATAAATCTTTAGCTATAACTGTAAATGAGTACACAAAGTTAATAATCTTTATAGAATTATCTTTGTAACTAATTAGGGTGGAAGATATGGACGAATGTAATTCACTAAATTATTTTTTAAAATGAAACATTTTTCTGTTTGAAACCAAATGAAAAAATATAGCCTTAAGAAATGCCTGATAGAAACAGACAGGTCCTAAAATTAGGCAAATTTTGTATTTTTTTCTCAACGCTAAAACTAGTCTTCTAATCCATTAAACTTTCAAACAGGTATTGCAGAGAAAGAAAACATCATCCCTTATCCCTAACATATCTAGTGTATTTTAAAAGAGTATAAAGTTGTATTGTACTAATATGAAAATTTGATTATTTAAAGAAAAAAAAAGGCTCATTTTGCAATAACTAGGTAAATACTGAAGATTTAGACTTGCATTATACGTAGTCTTGTGTGTGCAGTTATATTTTATATGGACAGCTATGTTTCTAACAAGTTGAGTGAAAAAACTTGCAACTCTGAAATTAACAGATGAACGGAAACAACTGACATTGTGACAGCATCGAGTAATTTGTAAACTGAAAGCAAAACACTAATGTGTTTCGAAGAAGAATACGTACACCTCTGAAAGGATCAACAGCTTTAATATCTATGAGACGCTAGAAAATCACAACCAACATCAGGCAGAGAAGATTGGAAAGTGGAGCTTTTTTTTTTTCCTCCTTTTCCTCTTTACCATGGTGCTCTTACACCTCTCCCAGTTGTCTCTCCAGTTCCAACTGGCGAAGACCTTATATGAAACAAACGTGTACGTACCACGTGGGGTCTGATGTCCTTTTGCATCTGATGTGGTAGTATTCCCCCTTCTGATATATTCAGGGAAGACTCCAGAAAGTGAAGTACAGCTGGAGATATTTTAACACTGTAAGGTTTCGAACCCTGGGTGTGGGTGTGAGTGACTGTCTGAGGTACGCACATGCGAGGGAAGTAGTCTCATTCCTCCTGGCTACACCAGAGAGCCTCGCTCAGTTTCTTTTTCCTTCTGCTGCGCACCCAGCACTGCCCCTCAGTCGCCCAAGCAGCCGTAGTTTCAGCAGGTGCTGGGCCAGCAGCAGGTTCTCATGCAGAACGTTTGTCTTAAAGGCTGAGGGCAGCCTGGCCAAGCATAAGCCACCTTAAAGATCAGTCGTGAGGTATCAGCGCAGAGTGTTCTTAGGAAGGTCTTTTGCAGTCCTGAATCAAAGAAGTTAACGTTTAGTGGGTCCCTCCTCCCTGCTCTTTACCGATATGTACCCATGCACAATTTAAGTCTAGAAGTTACCCCAGGCACAGTGCTGTAGTCTTCAAAAATGCCAGTCATATTTTTATTTATATTATAGTTCTGGATAGTACTTTCTGTTAGAATTGCCCGTTGATGAATTATCTGGACTAGACCATAGCCTAGATGAGGTAGTGGGTTGCTGTACGTTGCGTCAGACCATGTTCATACTTAACACTAGAGAGGACTCAGGTTAGAGGACGATACAAACATCACCGGGGGAAGAGCGACTGCTTAAATTTCTTAGCCTGCCTCAGATCTAACTAGTAGGTGGATGATTGCTGTGATATCTAGCTGTTACCTGCTTGTGGATATTAGGGCTGATGATCTTTCGGTTTATATTCCGTGAACTGAACAGAGAAATGTGTCCATGGTAAGGTCTCTTTTAACACTTGTTTTTAACACTAACAATCACATCAGGAAAAGCACTGCATTGTAACAGCCGAACGGTAGCCCTTTATTCTAAGCACTTGGTGTTACAAGTCAAAAACTACTTTTTTGTTTTATTTTATTCTAAAGTTGTCTTTTATTTAGGGTTTGAATTGTGGGTTTGGTGATTTATTTTTTTTAATAACAAGCAAACTCTTTGAGGCATATAAAGTATGTAAGTCAATTTGCAAAACCAGGTACAGTTTTTTTTAATAGAATCTGGCACACTGCATATGCCACAACTATAGAAACCATAACTATAAAAAGTCATAATGTTTATTGGTGTTCACATATGTAATATTAGGGAAACTATGTCCATTGTCTTTTCTTTACACTTCTGTAAATGATCCATACCCTGTACATGTTAATTCTTAAAAGCCTTAATCCTTCAACTGTTCAGTGTGGGGTGTGTAGTCCAACAGGCTGCCTGTAAACTGTGAGCTCTTTTGTAAGCTGGAAGTACTTATCTTGTTACTGTTACTTTTTTGTAGGAACCTTTTAATTGAGAGCTGCCAAAGCATTACAAGATGCAGTGCCTTAGTATTATATTAGAAGTACCTTTAGCCTCTTAACATAAATTTTATATATTGTTTTATGAATTGGTTCCATTTTTAAAAATATCTGTATTTTTTCCCAGAGAAACGCTCTTTGACTGCTTGCTCTACACCAACCTTCTGTACAAGTCAGTCCCATTACTGCGCAGTTAAATGCCTATACCAAAAGGAAAGGTTACAGATTCTTAGTTCTCCGTGAAAAGTGAATTGTATTAATAAATGCTGCCTTTTTAAATTTCATGACCAAATAATTAATTGTGACTCTTCTGCACTCTAGCATGAAAGTGCCTTTGGTTTGAAATTCCAGCTTAGAAAAGTGCTGCCATAATAATGACAATTTGTAGAGAGACCAAAAATATTTAGTTATCACCATAATGCCTTTGGTTTATTGGAGTAAGTTGAATCTACAGGCCTCCATTCACAAAAGAGCACCATTTATAGCAAAGTAATTTTGCTAATGATCAACCTGCTGAAGAATCATCTACTGTTTGCCATTTCTGACAGCATTGCAAACCAGCAGCTGATTTGTCTGTGATAGAAAAATGAAAATTCTCTTCATCCAGTCGTGCATCTGCATAATGAGAGATACTGCAGAATTTCAGACAGTGGACAAAATATGACTTTGTTGTTCTCCTCTAACAATATTTCAGTATCTGTGAAGATTTTTTTGTTTAGACAGAAGATTTTGTTTACAAAGTTGTGCATGCTGAAAGTCAGATGCATAAAACAAGATGAAAATGGAGAACAGAGAATAGCTAGGGTAAATGCGATTGTGTGTTTTCAAGCATTCAAATGTTGAGTGTGAGCGTTGTGAATGAAGGTGCTCTTAGAGAAACTCTGGCCAGCATGATTCAAAACACAGGGTTGTTTTGTTTTGTTTTTCTCCCAGATGATGTCTTGGAAAAAAAAATAGCTCCTCTTAATAATGTGTCTGTATTTGATACCTTCTGTGAACGGGGGCCATACTGTACACTATAACTAAAATTGATGGGAAGAGGAGCAAGATTTTAAGAAAACAATGTTAGAAAGAACAAATATCAGCAAAACCAAAAGCTGTCAGAGGGATTATATAGTTGTGAATACAATTTTAACTTGATTTTTAAAGTATTTGATGAAAACTAAGATTAACTTTTTATATATAGAAATATTGTGACACTGTGTGGTAAATATTGTGATAATTCAAGTTCCCTGTCTCTAAAATATTATTTTCGTTATTCCTTCAAGGTCTAAATCTCACTTACCTCTATAAGACAAGTAATCCTGTTGAACTCAATGAGACTGAGGTAGGGCAAAGACACTATAAGTAGAGCATACGTTTTCAGTTATTACCAAACATTTCAGCTGTACTAGTCAATATTTGTGATAAACTACAGTTCTGTCTCATGAAAATATTAAAATAAGCATAATGGTACCTTTGGGGCAGTTAAAAATTACTACTAACAAATATAGTTTTACTTACTTGAATTCCAAAATTATTTTCTTTAGGTACTGCACCACTATTTTGAAGGAATTGCAGATATAATGCCTGTTTCTCACTTTCCCTTTCTACCGCAGCTACAGCTCATTGAGTTTGGCAGTAGCTTCTTCCGTTAAAAGCGCCACAGTATAGGCTATTTGAAATAATGAAGGGTGTACATTAATGCTGAATGTAAGCAACTGGCCAGTTCAAGGCAGATACAAATTTGACGTACTAATCCGTATCTATTTATTTTTCCACTGCGAGTCCTAGGGCATACTTGCTTTCTGAAGCAGTTCCCCTTAGAGTTTCCCTGAATCACTCACTCAGTCACACTGAGAAACCTTTTGTCTACCCTTTACTTGACCCATGCTGACACACGTACCCGGTCACAGAGCAGATGTGTATAACAGAGTCCGGTTTTGTACTTTTCTCAGGATCTCTTTTTCCCCTCTTATCTTTCATAACAAGATGTTTAGCCCCCTAAAAAAAAGATTGAGGCTGGGTAAGTCAAAGTACAAGACACACTTTGGACATCTTCATCTTTTAACTTTTCAGGTCATTCTTGCTGAGATCATGTAATTAGTTTTAGGGTGTAAATTAAATCTTAAATGCACTCAGTTGACTAAAAGGAGATGGATCCCTGTTACCTCCTTCCTTACAGAATATGTGTTTTTGTTTTGTTTTATGGGCCTCTGATTCAGGCTCATGACTGCAGACAAAAAATACAATATGTGCCTGAGAAAAAAAAAAAAAAAAAAAGACAAAAGAATTTTATAACATTGAAAACCTGAATAGCCTTTAATTCTTCAGTACGTTTTAAGTAAAACAGGTTGGGTTTTTGTTTTGTTTTGGGGTTTTTTTGCCATGTGCATTTGTTCACATTTGTAAATGACTTAATGGAATTCTCACTTTATGTTTATTTGTGTAATGTGTATAAAATGGGTTTGTGACTTAAGCATATTCATATATGGTCAGTGGTTACTTTAATATTGTACTGCTGCTGGTAACTTTTGATGTAGAACTTGCCTTTTGATGATAAAGTACCTCTAGGTTAGACAGTGAGGGAAGGCTCTTTGAAAAAAGTGAATGTTCTCCGATATTTTCTTAACATATTTGCAGAAGCTTTCAAAAGGAGTTTCAGTCAAACCTCTTGGCAGTACAGTATTCTTGTATTTGTTATTGTCTGTGTGTAGGTACTGGTACCTTTTTTTGTTTAAAATGTTTTAAGTGTTGGCTTTAAAGTGAATTTATCTTTAGTATGATAGTAATATGAAAATTATAGGTTTTGTGTGCAGAGAATTTTTTTATAAAGTGCTTTGTAAAAAAAAAAAAAAATGTATTCTAGCTTTCGCGGTACATATGTGTGATAACTTTAATATCCATGACAGTTAAGTGCAATTATTTCATCACTCTAAAAATGCTATTTTTGTGTCGGTTACTGCAGGTGTTTTCATGTCTTTGCAAAGTGACACATTTTGATGCCTTCTTGATAAAGTGGTAGAATTTT